CTTTTTTTTTTTTAATTTTTTTTTTTTTTTTTTTTTTTTTCCTTTCTATTTTTTTTTTTTTAAACTAAATACAAATTTTATGTCTTCAAAGATAAAAAATAAAACAGCTTTTATTTATCTCTTTATATGAAACTTATGTTTTATAGTCTATTTTTAATGGCTATTATTAGTATTAATAATAATCATAAAAAAAATTTTAATTTTTAAAAGCTACTTTTTTTTTTCTTTTTTATGAACAAAATATAAATGTATGTAGATAAAAATATTTACTCTTATAATGATTTTCCATATACATTTATATACAATGGAAAATTACATATTTTATTAAATCATAGAAATTAATAATTAATACTTTTAAAAAAAAAAAAAAAAAAGGAGAAAAAAAAAATTTTAGTTTTTTTTATAAAAAAAATTGATCAATTTCTTCTTCATGCCCATTTTTACACTTTAAAAACATATCTTGGTAATTCAGAATCATTTTAAAATTTTTTTTTTTTTTTTTTGTAAATTATAATTAAATTTAATAAATTTTGTAAGTACTTCTAAATCACATTATAAATTTTACATAATAAAAAAAAAAAAAAAAAAAAAAAAAAAAAAATGGCATATAATTACATAAAACTTTTTTTATTATATATGCTTACCAAATAAAAATATATTAATTCTTGATGTTTTCTAATTCAAGAAAATATACTAATATATATATATATATATAAATATAAATAATTTTTTTATAGAATAAATTGTATAACATATTTAAATTTATATTTTATAATCATTAATTTTTTATAAACTTTTTTTTAAAAAAAAAAAAAAATAATAAATATTTTAAAAATATCAAAAATTTATATATATATTTAAATTAATTATTTTTTTTTTTTTTTTGGCTTAAAAAATACATGCAATATAACATATTGTTTTTTTTCAAGGGAGGAAAAAATGAAAATGCTTTACAACATACTATTTATATTGATTTCTTTTATTTCATATTTTTTTATTATGCACTTTTTAATGAAAAAAAATTAATATTCCTTTTTTTTATTTTTTAAATACAAGAAATAACCTTCTAATATATAGAATAATATTTATTTATGTATACTAAAACAAATATTTATAAAAGCAAATTTAAGTTTTTTTTTTTAAGAGATGAAGATAAAATACATATTAAACTGACACATAGAAACTGTAGATTGTTTTGTAATTAATATTTTAAAATTATTTTATAACATAATCATTAAAATTTTAAAATATTTTAATTTGAAATTGACAATTAGTAATAGTATAGTCATTTTTATTTCATTTTTCAACATTCATTTAATTTAATAATAATGATAAGTCATAATAATGACTTTGCAGGTAAAATTTTAAAGTAAAAATATATCTTCTTATATGAAAACAAATTTGATAAATGAACAGAATTTTTTAATATTTTATTTTTTATAATTTATTATGTAGTTGTATAGTTATAAAATGTTTTATTTATTTTTTATATTCTTTTTATTTTATTTTTTTATTTTTTTTTTTTTTTTTTTGTTATAAAAAATATTAATAGAGTTGAATTTTTTTTTTATTTTATTTTTGTTTTAATTTTCCAGGATTAAATAGTTTAAGAACAAAAAATATAAGCGAAATTTCAGAATTAATTAAAGAGGCTAAAGAAAATAAGAAAAATTTAAATATTGATTGTAATGAAGGGGAAAATATAGAACATTTAAAGATTTTTGCTGAAAATCAAGGAAATTGTTTTAGTATATGTAAAAATAATTTAATTAAAAGATTTGAAAAAGATATAGAAGAGTATAAAAATTTTAGTTATAAGAATAATATTAATATCAATGAAGAAAATATAAAAAAATTGGAAAGTGATTATAAATATTTAGAAAATCAGTTTTGCTTTTATGTTTGTTCAAAAAAATACTTTCATTTACTTCAGGACAACAAATAAACATGTCACATCATTATTTTTTTTTTTATTTTTAATCATTCAATTTTAAGATTATACATATGATGGAAAATAAGAATACAAAAAAAGTTTTATTAACTTTTGGGTCTGAATATGGTACCGCATATGATTGCTGTAGAAATATGTTTTTTGAATTATATACTCATTTTGATATTGATTTTTTTTCTCTAGATGAAATTAATTTAATGAGTTTCTTTAAATATGAAAATGTTATTATAATTGTTAGTACTACCGGATATGGTTTTTATACACATAACATGTCAAAATTTTGGCAATCTTTAGATAATAATATAATGTTTTATGAAAATATATATTTTCATTTATTTGGTTTGGGAGATAGTTCATATGAAAATTATAATATAATAGCTAAAAAATTAAAAAAAAAACTAAAATCATTAGATGCTAATATTGTTAATTATAATTTAGGAAATTATCAACATCCTTCCATGCATTTTACTAATTTCAATATATGGAAAAATAATGTATATGAATTTTTGAGAAAAAAGTACTTTAATTTTGAAATAAATTATGATATTCCATGTTTATATAAATTAAAATATATTTATATAGATGGAAATGTTAAAAATACCGAAATTAAAAAGGCAATCAGTCAAAAAATGGAGGAAAAAGGGAGTGATCATAATGATTATACAAATATAAGAAATATTAATTTAAAGAACATAAATATTGATATTAATAATAATATGAATACAAATAAGTTAAATAATAATAGAGCTCACACAAATAATATTCTATATAATAGTATACAATTAAAAAAAGAAACAGATTTAAAACATTTAGATTATGAAAAAGAAATCATTAATCAACATAATATATCTAATGAAGTTAAAAAATATGAGTATTTTAATTTAGATGAACATTTTTGTAAAACATTAAAATTCATGAAGTTTCAAGTATTAAAGAATGAGAGATGCACAAATAAAACATATTATCAAGATGTAAGATATATTAATTTAAAATCATCCTACAATTTTAATGTTAGTAGTTTAATAAAAGTTCATCCGTTTTTAGAAGAAAAAAGAACAAAAGAAATTTTAAATTTATTAAAAATTAATTATAATGATTATATAGTTATTGAGAATAATTGTGTTAACCATATAAGAAGCACATATATTCCTTTTAATAAGAAAATTAAAGTATTAGATTTATTCGTATATTTTTTAGACCTTAATAAAATTGTAACACCATTTTTTTTTTATTATTTAAGTAAAAGAACAAAAAGTGATATGCATAAAAAGAAATTTTTAGAATTAGCTGACACTGTTAATATATCAGATTATTACTCTTATGTATATCAGGATAAAAGATCTTATTACGATATATTTTATGATTTTTATAGTTATATAAATGTAGATGTAGATTTTCTTATTAACACATTACCAAATATACAAGAAAGGAGCTATTCAATTTTGAATACATTAACAACTTATAATTTTTTAAAAAATTTTAATATCTATAACTTATATTATTATAATATCCACCCCCAATTTTCATCCATTATTCATTTTTTAAAAAAAATTTACTTAAAAAGCACACTAAATATTTTTTCTTTTTATATAGAAATGTATATTTATTCTCGTCTAATAAGAAACAAAATAAATCAAAATAGATACAATATAATTGAATTGTTAGTATGCTTATATGAATATGAAATAAGTAAGAATAAAAAATTAAAAGGATTATGTTCTGATTATTTAATTAATTTAAATCCAGGATCATTTATATATTCAAAAATTGAAAATAGCTTAATATTTATAAATAAAAATATATTTAATTTAAATTATAGAATTATTTACATATGCACAGGTGTTGCTATTAGTAGCCTCCTATCAGTTATTCGACATCGACATTATTTGTATAAAAATCAAGAAAAAATAAATAAAAAAAAAGAACTTTCTAATAATCTAGAAAAAGATATAATCATTTTAGGTTTTCGACATAAATTACAAGATTTTTATTTTCAAGAAGAATTAGCCAATTATTTATATTTTAATTATATATATGTAGCATTTTCAAGAGATGTAGAAAATTTGTTTTTTTATAACAATGAGTTATTAAACAATTATGATAATAATGATCATAATTTACAATTAAATGAAAACTCAAAAGAAGAAAAGTTTAATATAAATTATGAAGAAATGAAAAAAGTTTTAAAAAAAAAGAAAAAAATTTATGTAACTGATATAATATTAATGCTACAAAATTATATATATGATTTAATAAAAAAAGAAAATACAATTATATTAATAGCAGGAAAATCTCGTCCATTTTCACAAAATTTAATAAAAACATTTGCTAATATCATAAAACAAAAAGAACCAAGTAAGACTATAGAAGAAATTAATATATTTTTGAAAAAAAAAATTGATAATTTCTCAATTATATTAGAATCTTGGTATTGATTTTTTAAAAAGCAAAAGAGAGATAAAAATGTTTAACTGAAAATAACGAATCAAAAATTATATAAATGCAGTCTTTCGTGAAACAAAAAGAATATATATATATATGTAAAATAATAATAAGTAAATAGGTACTTCACAAAAAAAAAAAGATCTTATATGACAATTAAAAATATTAGATACTATTATGGCACACTCTTATTTTTAATATAACTTTAAAGTAATACAAACCATAATTTATAATGAATAAACAAATAATTAAGTATATATATAACCTAAAAAAAGAATGTAAATAAAAAAGAAAATGAAAGTACAATTATAATAAAGTATCAAAATATAAGAAATAAAATATTTTTTTGTTTATTTTTTTTAATAAACTATATAAATACTATTTTAAAGAAAAAAAAAAAAAAAAAAAAATAATTTAAAATTTAATAGAAAAAATATAATAATTATACCTTTTTTCCTTTTAATATTTTTTTGCATAGAATTAGGAAATGATGTTTTTTTTAATTTTTTTTATAAAAATATAAAAGAAAAAGATTAAATAAGATAAAATAGTACATTTTTATATACTTTTTATATAACTATATTTTATTTTTCCCTTAAAAAATATATAATAAAAAAAAAAAAAAAAAAAACATTATTAGCTAAATTATTTTCTTTTATTTTCCAAAATAAAAACATATAAGAAATTTACTTATCACAAAAAAAAAAAAAGTTTCATATTTTTTTTTTTTTTTTTTTCCTTTTCATAGAATACTTTCACATAGTTCACATTTTGTTCTTTCATAAGGATTTTCATATGTGCACATAGTACATTTTTTTAATTTATTTTTTTTTTTTATAGTGTATGTAATATTAAGTTCAGATGCATTTAAATATGATTTGTAGTTAGTATCTAATGATGAGTCAGTCTTTTTGTTAAGTTTATTCTGTTTATCTTTTTTATTGTTCATATATTTAATATTGGAATTATTGTTATTACTTTTTTTTTTATTTTCTTCTATTGAAGCAAGCAAAGGAAATTCATCTGAACTATATGTTTTAAAAATACTTTGATTATTTTTATTAATTTTTTTTTTTTTACTTTCCTCTATCGATGGTAATAATGGAAACTCTTCTGGATTATATGACTTCAAAAAATTTTGATCATTTTTATTTTTTTTTGTTTTATTTTCATCATTATTACCACTTAATGAAGGATAACTATTACAGCCAAAATCTTTTTTTTTGCTATTAAGTTTTTTTAAATTGCCTTCATTTTCTTTTTTTTTTTCATTAATTGTTAACGTGTTTTGATTACGCGGAATATTTTTGTTATTTTTACTCATAACATTATCTATACATTCTGATATATCTTTATTTCCTTTTTTTTTATTATTTTTTGGTGTTGATATGTTTTTTATATCTTCCTTTTTAGATTCTATTAAAGGTGGATAATCTAAATCAATATTTATATTTTTTGAATTTAATGTTTGTTCTTTATTCATTTCTACTTTGTTTTTATATGAATTATTTGTATTTGTGTTACTTAGAGTATTGGTATTACTACTGTTATCAATAAGAGATGGAAATTCTTCATTTTTAGAAGGCAAAGTGCAATTTGAAGTCATTATAGTGCTAACATAGAAATAAATAAAATAAAGTTCATTCAATTTTGTACTTTTTATTATATTTAAAAATCTATTCCTTAATGACAAAGATATATCATATAAATTAATATTTATTTTAATATCATTTATATTTAAATTTCCTGAATCTTTATGATTTTTTCCATTTTTATTACTTCCTCTTAAAATAGTTTCAATATCTTTTCTTATTCTATAATATTCGGGGCCAGTAGACAAACATTCTTCTAATGCTTTTGCATTAACAAAACTACTTAAATCCTTTGATATGCTAGTTAATGATGCTAAATCTACTCCATATGATATTCTATTTAATATTTTTTTTTTGTTTTCATTTGATAGGTTAATTATTTTATTTATGTTTTGCTCTTTCATATAAGTGGAAAAATAATTACTTAAAAATAAATAAAAGAAGGATACTAAATTTAAATTTGGTTGAACATAGTATAGTAAATCTAATACTACTTTTCTTGATATATCCCATTTTTTATCATATATATTATTAATTATGTTAGTATTGTATTTTTTTCTTTTTAAACATTTTTTAATTAATTGATCAATATCTTCTAATTCTGTGAAATCATTCTGTGTTTTTATTGCATTCAACAAACAGTTTGTGTTCTTTTCTTTCTCACAAATTTTATCTTCTTTTTTCTTATAAATTATAGGTATTAATATTTTATTTGAATCTTCTTTTTTTTCTATTTTATTTAAATTGTTATATACATCATTACATAATAAAGAAATGGTTTTTAAAAAGGTACAGATTTTTTCAAAACTATATTTATCAACTTTAAAAAATAAAAAAATTAAATATAGAAATCCATATTTACTTAAATGAGTTAAGTTTATATTCGCATTTGATTCTATTATTTTTTTTAACTTTACCATATCCTTTTCATATTTATATATTTGTTGAGTTTTCTGATAATTGTGATTATTTTTTACATTATCTATATTTACCACCTTTTCTAAGTTTACATATCTTTCATTCAAATAAAGGAAGAAAAAAGAATAATATAAAATAAAAGATCTATTAATAATTATATTAAAAAATAAATATAAATAATTTTTTTCTAAATCTTCTTTGTTATATAAAAGGTAATCTACTTTTTCTATTATATAATCAAAGAATAATTTGAACACAAAAAAATTATTCTTATTTATAGGAAAATCTCCATCTATAATATTTTTGTTTAATTCTACTATTTCTTCTTGAGAAAAATATAAATTGGAATTTTTTTTAGACAAATTTTGAAAAACATTTAAAATTATTTCTATGTCTGTTTTTATAATGTACAGAAAAAAATGTTTCTTATTACTAAAATACTTTATGAAATTTACAACTTTGCATTCAATATAAAAATCAAAATACCAGGAATCATAAAACCTTTTAAAATTATATATACATTTATAATTTTTTATATCAATTGACTCTTTATTATCTGATATGAAATCATTTTCTTTTATATAATCAGATATATTCTTATTTTCTTTTTCTCTATTGCTATTATTTGCATTATTTCTTAATTCACTATAAGAAGCCCCTGCTATGGAAAATGTTATTTTATTTTTTTTATGACCTTTTTCTTCATGCTTTTCTGCTAAATGAAGACATAAATCAATTCTATTATCAAATACAACAAAAATACATTGTTCATATAAACACGGATAATGCCTCTTTTTATAATGTTCAAACAAATTTATATAATCTCTATATACCTATAAAAAAAAAAAAAATATATATATATATATATATATATATATGTAAAAATAAAAATCATAATATATATTATAAAAACTATTTAATGAAATGAATTCATATATATATTTTATTTTTATATATTAAAAAGGTAATAATACATTTATTTTTATTTTTTTTTTTTTTTTTTTATTTCCTGACATGAAGATTTAATTCATCGTAATAAATAATTTCTTCTATTTCATTTTTTACAACTTCATTATTTTCATTAGGTTTTTTGTTAAAGCAAAATTTACAAAAAAAATGGTACTTATTTATATGATTCATGTAAGAATCATAATCATATAAATAAAACCCACATAAATGACAATATATATGTCTTATTTTATATTTATTTTCTGATATTTTTTCACCATATTCTATATGATTTTTTAAAAATCTCTTATAGAATATATTATACTCAAATAAAAATATATTATCATTATTTCCAACACAAATATCACAATATATTTTATTATGCTCACTTATGTGCCTACATAAATCACTTAATCTAGTATAACAATCATATTTTAAGTGGTTTAAAATATTTATATTATCTAAGTTTGTAAAACATGTTTTACAAAATATATCTATAACCTTAAAATAATCATCAGATAATTCTGACTCTTCTTCTCTAATATAATATATGTTTTTTGTATGTTGCTGATATTTATCATATATAGAATCATTTTTTTTTCTTAATATATCTTTTTCATTATTTATATAAATTTTCTCATAAAATTTATCTATTTTATTATTTAATTTATATTTCTCTACTTTTTTGTTTTGAATTTTTGTCCAATAATCAACACATGGAGATAACAAACAAAAATAGTTCGTTAGAAGAGTTGATAAACTAAATATATAAAAATATTCATAAAATATATTTTTTTTCGTGTCTAAAAATATTTTAGAAAAAAATGCATATCTTTTTTCAGAATTAACACAGTTCAATAAATATTTTATTCTTTTTTTCTTCCATTTTATGTATTTTTCATAATAAAAAAATAAATACGTATTTTCACTTTTTTTTACTGTATTTATTTTTAACTCATTTTCTTCATTTTTCTTTAAAATTTTTCGTAAAATAATAATGTCATCGTAATATGACGAAAAGGATTTTTTAAATTCAGTTTTTATCGTTGTTGCTGTTACCTCTTCTACTAAAGTTTCATTTTCATTACAATCTAAACTTTTTTTTTTCTCTTTTTCTTCTATATCACAAGAAGAATATTCTTTTCTTCGTATATTTTGATGTATATCATCTTCTCTTCCTTTATATTTTTTTTTAAGAAAATCTTCTTTCATTTCACTAGATTCACTTGATTTATTTATAAAGTATTGTTCCTTTTCCTTTTCCTTTTCCTTTTCCTTTTCCTTTTCCTTTTCCTTTTCCTTTTCCTTTTCTTTTCCTATTAGCGTTTGTAATAAATTATCATAAGTAAAATAGGTATAAAAGTTATTTAAACATACAAATATATATTCATTCTGTTCTTTACAAAATGGGCATTTCATTTTAACTTTATCAAGACCACAATTATATTTTTCATCTTTTATATTTTTTCTTCTATGTTGTGATATGATATTTTCATTAGTATGTTCATTATCTTGTCTATATAGTAAACTATTTCTATTCAAGTTATTATTTATTTCAGAATTATTACTTCTCATATTATTACTTCTAATATTATTATTTTCATTGTCTTTTTCTTTTTTCTCCATATTCAACAATCGATAGAAGCAAAGAAAACAAAAAGTATGATTACAATCTTGAACACATATAAATTTAATTAATTCAAAACATAAGCTACATTCAATAAATTTAAAATCAAGTTCTACTTTTTTTAATTCAAAATTATTAATTTTATATTCTTCATCATTCATTTCTTTAAAACAGTAATTCTCATTTCCTTCTTTTTCTCTTATTATTTTCTCTATTTCTTTTTTTACTAATCTATTTCCATTCTTTTTTATGTTATCAATTAAACTATTATAAATAATTAAATTATTTTCTATTCTAATTATGTCAGCATCACAATAACTGAATAATTTTCTTATATGATAGGAAATATTGATGTATTTTGTTTTTTCTATTGGTAAATTTTTATCATTTTGAGAATTTATTAATTCATTTTTATTATTATTTTTAACAATATTATCTCTACTCCTGTGCATTTTTATCTTCTTAATATTATATAGATATATATATATATCTATTATAAAGATATAAATACGTATGTATCTGAAATAAAGATATATATATATATGTATGTGCAAAATTATATATATCTATTAAAATTGTGAAATTTTAAAAGATATAAAAAAAATATATATATATTAAACAAGACGAAGGAAAAATTTAAAAAAAAAATTTATTTTTTCCAGAACTCTAATTTATCTTATTTAATTTTATCCTTATATAATATATTTAAATAAATATATCTAGTTTCATATTATTATTATTTATTCTTTTTTTTTTTTTTTTTATTATTTTGGTTATATTTTGTTTTGACAGTAAATTATGTTTAAATTCATTTTCTTTTCATAATTTTTACTTTTTTTTTTTTATCTATATTATGTTATATTTTTTTTTTTTCCTAAACAATTATAAATATATAAAATCTTTTGAAGATAAGTATATATTTAATTTTTTATTTTAATTTTTTTTTTTTAAATATATATATATATATATAAAATAATGAACATTGAAAAAAAAAATTTATATAATCCTTATGCATATCTTATAAATTATTCATTTTTGTGTACATAAATTAGCTTATTAATGGTTGTTTTTTAATTAGAAGAAAATTAAACCTTAAGTATATTATTTTATCTTTACAGATTTACAATTATTATTATATATATTTAAAAATGGCTTGTTAATTTTTTTTTTTTTTATGTAACTTTTTTTTTTAATGAAAATGAGTTAAAAATATTCAAATGAAAAATTATCCTTTTCATTTCTGTAGATTTTTTTTTCTTTTTGTTTCCTTTTATTTTTTAAAGTAATATATAATAAATAAAATGCTTATAGTAAATCATAAAAAATTGTATCTAATTTTTTTGATACTTTAAAAAAAGAAACAAAAAATAGGCAAGTTGAATTGTATTTTTTTAAAGAACAAACACAGATAAATTTCTATATAAAAAAACAAAAACGAAAAAAATATTTAACATAATAAGAATAATACACAAAAAAAAAAAAAAAAAAAAAAAAAAAAAAATTTTTTTTTTTTTTTTTTTTTTTTTT